AATCTTCGAGCGCCAACGTAGATTGGATAGAACTGCCACCCGGAGATGACTGTATCTCTAGCTCTGCCAGTCGTGCGTTGTAGGCATTGAACGTTTGTTCCGCTTGAGCGGTAACAAACGTCCCATCCTTGCGCCGATGAGTTTTCTCCATCACTTTANTCATCNGAGGAAGATCACCNCNATNAGNCTGTTAAACAAAAATAAACATAGATAAAAATAAAATATAGAATAAATAAATATATAAAATACAAAAAATCTAATAAATTAATTTAATTAAGATATTACCATATCCAATCGTATTGTGGCGTATGATGATTGACCCGCACAATGCTTAGAAGGTCTATCTCCTTCAGCCACCGGCGTGAGACGGGATGCAGAACACTTCTCCGATCTGACCACCGAACGAGGATCCTCCCAAAACCGTACTGACCCGACCAAACATCGGGATCCATCCCTCTCGGCTTCGTATCATCGCCTTTCTCGCGCCAAACTTTTTTTATATTAGTGATGGCGCCGTTGAGACGCTTGATCGCCTTCTTCTCGAAGGCCTCTCTCACTTCGTGTGTACGAACATCATCCCAGTGCCACCCTTCCTACAAAAATACGAATAATGTTATTAATATATTTAAAATCAAATAATTTAATAAATAAAAATAAAGAATGTAATATTACTTACCGTCCATGACTCAAACCAAATATCCCGAATAGACTGCGGCGTCTGGCTCCAATTAGCATGCGACATAGTGATTGGGCCATGATATGGCTTTGGTGACCGAACGAGCAACGCAGTTATCGGTAAACCTGTAAAACAAAATATTTAGATGTTAATCATTAAATAAAACTTGTAATTAAAAAATAATTATCCAAAAAAACAAAAAATAATTAGTACTATTGCAAAAAAATTAATCATACCAAAAAGTGACTCGAGGCTTAAACGGATGGAGGACCCTAACCTGTGTCTCACATCCAGGTTGGCGGAGAAGCTCATTAATCTGCACCATAAGAGGCTGGTTTGGCGGTGGAGGGGCCTCATTGTGATCATCGGGATGATCTGCTTCGTCTTCGTC